ATCATTACTACCAATCCGACTACTTAAATGTGTGGTGCTAATGTTGTAGATATTTAATTGCATTTCTTTTATTTCATTTTCTAAATATTATAATTAATTTTTTAATATATAACAAAAACATATTAGGTACGTTCTTGCATACAAAATAACAAGACAATATGTGGATTAAACAGTTAAAAAATTAAAACGTTAATAATAAGTTGAATATTAATTATATAATCAAAAACTCAAAATCTCTTCAGCCAAAATAGTGTAACGATAGTCTAATTTATTTATAGTTTATTTATTTAAAACACACTTTTTACAATTCATATATGCCGTACTAATTAATTTATATAATACTTAGGCACTAACTCACAATTCTAATTTATTTATTACAATTTAACTTTTTAGTCCAATACTTTTTGCTAAACGATAAGTAGGGCTATTTATACCAAGTTTAACTCTGCTACGAGAAGTCTCTAGACGCTCACGAAAATTCCATATTTGACTCAACGGTACGCTACGCCCGTTTTAGCCGTTTCTCGAGCGTCAGCGGCATTCCTAGAAGATTCCGTCGTTTCGAGAGTGAGTCGGGTGGCAAGCTGATGGTCGCTTGCTTTAGACAGATACGGCTCAGGAATTTTCATGACGAGTAGTATACTCTTTAATATATCAAAAATCAACTTTCTACGATAGAAAACTGCTGTGTCCCTATTCTGTAACATCAGCTCTATAAATAAGACCTTCATCCCTAAGAATATCCAATAAGTAGCTAGATTTATACATTTGTAATCGTACTTTCGTCAATTATGTGGTTCATTGTAGTATGTGTCGTCCTTTTGAATAAAAAGCGTAAACGTTGACTGGTTTGTTTATATTATAGTTATTATTATTTATAAAAGTAAGAATGTCATTACTAATTCTTAGTCTTGTATATTTAAATTCTTACCCATAATACAAGTAAACTAACGAGAATTTTCTTTTCTAATAATTAATAAATATATCTAAAGTAAAGTAGAAAAATTCCCCCTATAAAGTACCCCTCCCTCCGATACTTAGACTAAGTCCGACATAAATATTATTTATTATACTCACTGCTGTAGTAGTTTTATTGTTAAAATTTCTTTGAAGAATTACCTGCAACAAAAACAAAAAGAAATTATAATTTAGATGTTATTATAACAAATGTTAAATATTCATTAGTTAGTGTACGTGTATTTATGAGTTTGACAGATGCATATAATAGTTATTTATGCAACCAGTTAGGAAAGGCCTTATTTTATGAAACGAATGAATATTTGCGGGACGAGTAGAGGGAGGACCAGCAAAATGAACAATTTACATAAAACGGAATTTCTTAACGTGTTACATACAATATTTTTTCTAATTTTGATTAAATAATCTCTATAACTGCGTTTTGGAAAAAACTTACTGACATCTAAACTACCAATATTACTTTCTTGTATTGTTAGTTGCATATGCACTCGTTCATGTTGCGGGATCTCGCTCTGCTTGTCCCGCAAATATTCTCGTTACATAAAATAAAGCATTTCGTAACTGGTTGCATAAATAGCTATTTCGTAATCAGTTTCTTAATGTTCAACTTTATATAACTGGTAGCATAAAGCAGATCGTTTTGACACTTGCTGCGATTACTTTATATGTCAAAATTAGAAAAAAAATTAGAGTTAATAGTTTTTATTGAAATTTCCTGTATATTTATTTTATTAGTTCAAATATGTCTCCATACTTTTGGCAAGTTGCCAGTTTTCAAATTATGACAATATACGAGTACAAGGTGTTTTGCGAATAAAGTGGCATATTTCACTGGTTTATGAGGTACAGTCTGTTCGCTATACTTACGCGGGTTTCGGATTAAAAATTTTATGGGTATTTCCAGGTAAGTACCCGAAAGTTTGACCTGTTCTTTGGGGAAATATCAACTGGTTAAATGAAATGAAAAATAATGTACAACTTTTTAATTAAATAATAATGGAGAATCTTTTGTATAATTGAGAGCAGAATTAAACTTCTTCATTAATGGAGTATAATGTGGCTATTATAAACTAATAATAATTTTATATTACACTTCACACAGAAAATATAGTCTATGTATAATAAGAGGGTTATTCAGCTCAAATAAAATATTTTCTAACATCAAAATTTGTTCCATGTAGAGAATTTCAAATGAAAAATAAAAAAATTGAACTTGCCAACAAAAATGAAAATCAGTCATTATCATCCAAAATATCATAATCGTCATCATCATCACTGTCATCACCATTAATTGTTATTATTATTGGACTTATTTCGTTTATTTTATTTTCATGAGTCCGCCAATCTTCTATTAGTTTCACTTGGCTATACAGTTCCGCCACACTTCGCCTATTTATATAATATTAATAAAGGACAGAAGGATGAGTATTGCAACTATGTTAAAAGAAATAAATTGGGTTTCAGTTCAGAATTATGTTCAGTACATGACTGATATTTATAAAATAAAAATAAAATAGTACCATCGCATCAGATCTATTAGAAAAAATTCAATATAATTCGCAATATCACAACTATAATACTTTCATCTACGGCAAGCCAGCACTAAAAGTTCCCAAAATACAATTTTTATTAAAGGTTTGCAAAAATGTAATAGGCTGCCTACAGAAATTAAAAAAAAAATAAATGTAACCTCAAACAATACTTGATAACAGAACGGATATACTTTTTTGTGATAATACTCTTTAAACCTGCCCTTTTTAAGTATTTTCCTTAATTTGTTGGTATTTTACCCTTCGTTTTAACCGCATTTATCATACATTATTTCTGTTTTGAGATCATGTACTTTATTTTAAAAAATTACTTGATGTTATATTAATACTACCTACTATGTTTAAATTAATATTTCTATATATATTTGACTATCATTGTAAATTAGCAGTTGCTAAATAAATAATTAATATATATATATAATTTGTCATTTTTGCTTTATTTTAAAACAAAAGTCACTAGGGGTCTACTTTAACACAAAAATAGTTTTGCTACTATAGGTTATAGCAACTTATAGCCACAAAATTATTTTTGTGTTAAAGTAGATCCATAGAGCAATATAATTTACAAAGGCCTTCTTTCAACATACAAATAAATTACAACTTTATAATTAAAATGAAAAACACAAGAAAATACCTCGGTATCATAATTGAAATGTGTTGATCACATTACGTCATTAACAATCAAAGTTAGAAGATTCATTTTTAAATTTTATGAATTAAGGAAATTGATGACTAAGAGTTTACTAATTATTATTTATAATTCTCTGGTTGAATCTATTTTGCGATATGGTATAATGTGGACTATATGATATTGCACTTCAACCCCTTAATGTAATCCAAAATCGTATAATTAAAATTATCTACAAAAAACCAGCATTTATCTTACCTCTCTTTTATATAATAAAAAAATGCTTTATATAAGAACATTATATTATCCGTCTTGCTGTACCATTATTTATGGAAAGCCTGAATTGAGATACACTACAAATTATTTGCAATAAATATCAAAAGAAGCATACAAACATTTTTAAATAATTTGACATTTAAGAGCCATTCACGCATCACAGTTGACATCTTGATTTTAACGAGTTTTTGCTTTTGCAGTTTATTTTAATGCAAAAAATTCACAGGATTAATTAAAATAAAGATATTAATTCACCTAATGCGATATTTTACTTGTAATTAATTATAATAAAGTTTACTTCTTCAATTATGATACAGGCTAAATTTTCTATTGAAAATATCGACAACTTACCAATCATTTTTATCATATACCTACAAAAGGTTTATAAAACAACTGAAACATAATTTCGAACTAGTAAATCACATGAAATATTTTTGTTGCATAAGTGAAGAGGGATGCATAATGGGCCTAGTGAAGCCTCAGTACCGTGGGTCAACCCACCCTACACACGTTACAGATACAGAGAGAATTGAAGGTAACTTATATAGCAATTTTTTCTAATGGGTGTACGTACAATAATCAGTAGAGTGGTCCACAAAAATATTTCTAAAGTAGGCCATGAGCGACAACAACAGTTTTTAAACGCAAATCATCCTACAGGTAAAGAAACGTGATATCACATTTTTTTTAATTTACTTCTTTCCTTTTTCTTAACAATTTAATATGTTCATCATCGCCGTGCTTAGTTCAGAAATACCATTCTACTCTCTCTTAATGTTTGTATTTCATAATTAGCCTTTACTTTCTTTTTAAAAATGCATTTGTTCTCACTTTCAACTCTGAGGTTACTTAATTTATAATTCACTTTTAGGTTCGCTAATAAAAAGTGGTTTTTTAAAAATGACAAAAACTTTACAAAAAGCGGAACTTTACTTTATGTCTTAACAATATAAAAGTTAAAATGTAAAAGCTAGAAAATGCCGGCAACGAACTAGTTTTGTTGCTGCTAGATTTTGGTGGGACCTTATCTTGGACTTGCCGCCTCTGCATAATACTTGTATTTGCTATGATTGCTCATAACTCCACCCTTAGAGGAGAATCCGGGGGCTGGCCTCTGGATTTTCTTCCTTGGAGAACTTCTTCGATAAATTCTTCCTATATTTTCTATATGAATAAGTGCAAAATAACAAACAAAATGCGATAAAAATAAAAATCAATATAGTCCAAACACTGATTTTGTTAAAATGGATTGTATTATCAAAAATATGTTATACTTTTTGTTTTTGAAAATTTAGAGTCTTTTAGAATGGTTAATTGTTCCAAATTAATACTGTTCAATTTAATAGGTTTAAGGTAAATAGGATTTTTATCATTAGAGTTTTTAATATTAACTTTAGGAAGTTCTATTATATTTTAAATTCACTTTTTGGCAGTTTCTACATTTATTTACTAATTCTAATAAAAATGTTCCTTCTAATGGGACATTCTTTGGGCCACTGTGATCTGAGGTGAGATGATCATCCATTTATTTTGAGGCATTTTTTTTTAAATTTTTATGTCCATAATGTCTAGATGGTTTGGCAGTTGGTGAGGTTCTTGGAAAACCTCAACAATGAAACTTCGCAGGGGGCGTCTTCTTCTACTGGAGTTGGTACTGATTCGTGACAGATACACTCTTGATTACTAATTTCTTGACATTCTGAGTCAAACGACATGAAATTTTGGTCGTTTAGAATAAGGATTTTCGAATTTGGAATAATCATTTGGATAAGGTTGCTTTTAGGAGTAGGTAAAGGAAAAAGTTGATATAAATCGTAATTTTCTCTTTCCACAATTGGGATTTCTATAACAAAAATAATTTTGTTTTTACTATAACTTTTAATTTGCATTATTTTTTCGAATTTAAGTATATTGTTTAAAATTGGTTCAAATGGTAATTTGTTGTTAAATAAGTTGCTATCGATTAATTAAATATGGTTGATCAAATATTTAGGATCTATCATCGAATTATGAAAAACATTTAATTTGGAAAAAATTTTTAGTAAATCGTAAATATTTTGATATAAAATTGATATTTGATTTGTGACTTCTTGAATATAGACACTTTCAAAAATTTGTTTATTTTGGATTTGAGCGTTTTTTAAAATGTGTTCTATTTTGTTTATTTGAGATTTTAATTTTAGTTTATTGTGAGCTAAGACTTGACAACTTTTATTAAATATTGTCTAAAGAATTTTCAACTAAGGTAATTTGTTTATTAATTAAACATTTCATCTTATTTGGATTTTTCGAAAGATTTTCTATGGCTTTGTCATATTTTTCGGCGTCGTTTTGATTTAAATTTACAGATATTGATTTAATCATTGTATTACATCTTCAACATGTGTTAGAGCTCCCGTACGAAAATTTAAAACTTCATTATCAAAAGTTTCATAAGACGGACCTTGAGAGGGTTTATGGAAATTTGTCAGCTGTATTACATTTGTATTAATGTCTTGTTTTTGACTTTTATTGTCGTTAGTTGTATTAAATGTTGAGAAATCATTATTTACTTGGAAATGGCATTCACCGTTATTATATTGGTTATTAAATTAATTTTTGAATTGGTTTTCTATTTGATCAGAATTTTGTAAATAAAGGTTATGTATACGCTTATTTCCAGATGATGTATCCATTGGCTCTGGGATACTATTTGATCTATTATTAAAATTGGAATTTCTTGAAATTAGACCATTTCGGTTGAAATTAGTCGAATATTGACCAAAATTTGAATTTTTAAAATTATTTGAATTTCGATTAAAATTTTAATTATTGAAATTATTTGATTGGTTAAACTGGGATCTCTGAACGAATTGATTTTGATTCTGAAAATTATTATTTTGAAAATTCTGATTATTAAAGTTTGAATGAAATGTTAAAATTATTAGAATAAAATGGTTTTTGTAATGGTTCTGGTGGTTGCCTTTGCTGAGATTTCGAATAGATATTTCTGCTATTTACAGATCTATAATTTTGAGAATCTGATGTCTGATGCGTCTTTCTTCGGGCGAAAAATTTGGTGCGTTTATTTTTGATGCAATTAAACTTCTAGAGTCTTGGCAACGCATACCAAAACGACAGGGGGGTTAATTTTTAAAAGGTTGTAAAGCAATCATGACAGTCCATATTTCTCTGATCACCAAAGCTTAAAATTAAAATTTTTTTATATCTATCCAAACAGTTAATTCACTACGGGAGCCTATTAAACTCAAAGCTCTGCCGGTTAATTTGCCAATAACAGCTCTTAAAATAAAAGCATTAATTGTAGCTGTATTATTTTGCCGATCAGAAAATTGTCCAAACTTTCACAAGCATCTAAAAATACAGTTAATATATAGGGATTCCCATCAAAATTTGGAATAGTATCTACATATAATTGCAAAAGTGGATAATTAGTTCTATCTACCATATTTGAATCTGATCTTTCTGACTCTGATTCTTTTATAGGAAGTACATTATTTAAATTTAATGAGGAATATGTCCTAAGAGTACTATTAAAAATATTCACTAATTCGTCTATCTCAGACATAAAATATAATATAAATTATCTCAATGTTTTATTTTATCCCAAAAATTAAAAATCACTAATATATTCAACTAAAAAAATAAAATGTTTGAAATAAAAGGAGAGCAAAATTTCTTACGCAATTCCCAGGAATATTTTCATGTCTTAGGGTTGAGCAATGCTGTTTCTTCTCCCTGATTTTTTAAAATTAGCTGGATTTGGCGATGTGGTCCTCGTCCAGGGTCTCCAAACTTCGGCAATGTTGGTCCTTTGCTTGGATGTACACTTTTTGGTGAGTTTATTTTACCTATTTTCGCGATTTCGATTTACCGTTAAACTATTAAAATAGACCGATTTGGCACGATTTTAGTTATCACACCGTTAGGAAATCCTACTGACTGCGCCACTTTTAGGTTCACTAATAAAAATTGTTTTTTTAAAAAAATGACAAAAACTTTACAAAAAGCGGAACTTTATTTCAATAACAATACAACAATCTTAACAATATAAAAGCTATTTTAAATTATCCCCTTTTATTTAGTTTAGATAATTTTGTAAAAATAGTTAATTAGTTAATAATTAAGACTCAAAATTGTAGATATGTATTAAATAAATTGTAAAAAAATTATCTTTGTAGTAAGTCCAGTAGGCATGGCTGGGTAGAATAAATAAATATTAAAATAATAATTTTTTTAGTCCGGTATTGTTGGATTTACTTAGGAACCACCCTATGTATGGACATGCCAAGATGTCACTTTCTTCGCGACACACCGCAAATAAATATTTTCAATACCGCGACAAACAAATTTCAATAAAATATTGTGTAACAAATGATGGTTTACGAATTGGCAATCGTAATGCATATCTAGACATTTTCTGCATGTTTCGTCCTCGGACAAGGAAAATTCGGGTCAAGTGCATGATAAAATTATTGGTGTTATACATTAATGAAGTTGACCGAAGGTTATGAACTAACCGAGGCGAGCGATTGCGTTTAAATAATAAATAACTTTTTGATAATGAGGAAGACACTCGAGACACGACGAATTTAAATTATCCGGTAATCAAAAATTATAAATAATCGAATTAGCGTTGTTTTTAATTATAAAATGATAAAAAAGTTACTTTTTATAGATAATTATCGACGATAGTGATAGTCTGAAAATTTTCTTTTTCAGAAAAGAATTTTATTTGTTAAAAATTAAACATATAAATTAGATTTAACGTTTATCAATAACTCCGTTTGTAGTACGTTTCCATTTTTATCTAATCAGCGTTTCGTATTATAGGGGGTGTGTCCATTTTTAATATTTTTAGAGTTTTACATTAGGAAGAAACGTAAAAATACCATTTATGCCATTAGAATACGGGTAAGAAATCGCTATTCGGATTTTTGACGTTGGGATTTCAAAACATAATTTTTCTACGACCACCATTCAAAATACGTTTTTCAGCGTGAGCAAAGAAACTACTTTGCACACGCACATTTAAGTAAAGATGTGATCGTCTATTTAGGCTACATTCATGCCTTAACATCATTCAAACTTGTGACTTCTACATGCCGTTAGGTAGTGACATATATTAATGACATTTCAACAGGATCAATCTTAATATACCAGGTGTCCTATTAGTTGCGAGGAAGTCAAATATCTCTCTTATTATAAGAAATATGTTTTAAACGGTTTACTTTTTTGCATATTTCTAAAATACTACCAAATATACATTATTCGGTTACATTGGAAGACTATAAATAAATGTAGATGTTTTTAAATGGCTCACCTTGTATATTTTTATACAATACTATTTTTTTTGTCCTACGACTTTGCCAATTTGTGTCAAAAAATTGGAAAAAATACTGAAAAATTGTTCATGACAAATATTATTAATCTTTAAACATATAAGACTTCGTATTCCAAATTGAACGCTCAGTATATTATTTCACAATTTGTTATTTGTTATTATAATAAACATGATAGTTTTTGACAAATATTTATTTTAATTGATAAATTAAAAATAGAGATAAAAGTAAAATTGGATGTCCACGCACTAATGGTTCACCCTGTATATATTTGTCCAGAAGACCCAAAAATCAATCTATATCCGTCAGATTTGAAAATGGAAAACTTATTACCAGATATTTGGAGGCAAAAGTACGGAAATCAAAACTCTATAGTTATGAATTGAAAAGAAAAACAATATAAGGTAATTTTTAGAAAGCATATTTCGAAGAAATGCCAAAAAGTTTAAAACATCATTTTGGTCTCACTATTCTATGATAAACAGTACCGCAAACATAACACTAACGTTTACACAAAATAAGATCTTCACTAAAAATCAAAAATTTTGTCATAATGTACCAGACAATAAATATTAATCAAAGTAAGTACATATAAATTTCTAGAGTTTAGGTAGGTACTATTTCTGTTTTGTAGTAACACTACGATTTTAATTAAGCATTCAAAGTTTTCAATTCCACATGAAAATGAAATTATTTTATAATAATGATTTAGCAAAGGGTAGAGTGTTCGTCTAATGTGCGGTCGCTTGATTTGTGGCATTACAGCTTACAGCTCTTAATGACCCTTTAGGCTCTATTAAATATGCTTCTAAATTATCCAAACTCCATCCCAATTACATGATTTATTCATATATGAGCCATACAATTTTGAATGATACAAGGGTTGCCTGTTAAGTTGTTACAAAAAGTGAAACAGAAACGAACAAGTTCGAAACAAAGTGATTTTCGAAATATTCGCCTTTAAGGTCTATACACATTTTTGCATATACTCAAACCAATTCTGGAAACATTTTGTTCACTCTGAAGCTGATAGATATCGTAGAAACATGATTTTGAAAGTCTTCAACAGCTTCTTGAGGTGATGAAAATCGCGCATCTTTTGTTTGACAGTGGGCAACAAGAAAAAGTCATTAGGCGATAAATTGGGTGAATACGGGCTATGAGACATTAATTCGATGTTTTTCTCCTTCAAATATTCAGTTGTTTGACGTGCTTTATGGGAGCTGGCATTGTCGTGATGAAGAATGATGCGACGTTTTTTGTTCTTGTTCCTTATTTCATCGATGACCGTTGGCAAACAAATTGTTATATACCATTCGGCATTAACAGTTCTTCGATCCTCTAATGGAATGATTGCGACGTGTCCAGTACAACCGAAGAAACAAGCGATCATTTTCTTGGAAGTGCTCCGTGAACGAACAACTTTGGCGGGATTGGGTTCATCGTTAAACACCCAAACAGTAGACTGTTGTTTGCTTTCAGGTTTATACGAATATATCCA